TAATTAAAGGAGAAAGCTCCTCCGTTCTATCTATGACGTCCCTCCGTTTATCTGACTTGCACATAACTTAAACGTATGCATAGACTAAGCTAGCCAGCCCTCCGCATTTCGCCCCTATCCCCAGGGGCAACATTAGCGTTGGAATAACGTTCGTCGAACGCCAGCAGCAGGCCAGTGCAGTAACATGCTGTCGAGAGCGCCGCGACGCTGAGTGAGGGTTGCGGCTAGGGCACGGTCGCAACGGCAGCGGAGATTCCGTTGGATGCGACCCTGGACGAGCCGCCGACGGCGGCGGTGGCGATGGCCGCATTGCCCATCATTTGCTGGCCAACCGTTCCACCGCCGCCACTTCCGTCGTAGCCGCACTTGGGGCAAGCATTCGACGACGGCGCATGCGCGGGCGCGGGTGCCTCACCTCCGTCGCCCCCTCCCTTCTTGCCTCCTCTGCTGCCTCATAATCCTCATCTGCGTCCGAGGTCCATTCAAGTCGCCTCCTCACGGTTTACCAGCTGCGTTGCCGCCGCAGCACAACATTGGCGATGCGGAGGTCGACGCCCTGCCCGCTGCTGTAGAAGCCGCGGCAGGGGAAACTTCGGGGGGGGATAATGCGGCGGCGCAGGCATTTTCATTGAGTGGTGCGGCGACGGATGGAGGCAGAGACGAAGCTAGCAGACACGCGGCGACGGATGGAGGTCAAGTCCGCGACATCCTCGTTATTGCCGAGGAGGAAAATCGCAAGGCCTGGTTTGAGTGGTCGTGCAGGAACAAGGATCCGGGCGCAAGGGCTTTCGCCGTCACGTCGGAAGAGTTCAAGCGCGTGATGGACATGGAGGCAAGCCAAGGCAGGTACGATGACGGCGGCAGTTTTGTCTTTGATGGTCCCGCACGGTGCGTCGAGACGGCCTGGCGCAATCGCAGTGGCGGTGGCGAGGGCTTCGGCGGGGACAGAGGCAGCGGCTCGAGCAGCGGTGGCGATGGCGGATGTGCTGGCGGTGCGGTGCGCCCTGCGCTCAGCAATCGCAGTGGCGGTGGCGAGGGCTTCGGCGGGGACAGAGGCAGCGGCTCCAGCAGCGGTGGCGATGGCGTATGTGCTGGCGGTGCGGTGCGCCCTGCGCTCAGCAATCGCAGTGGCGGTGGCGAGGGCTTCGGCGGGGACGGAGGCAGCGGCTCGAGCAGCGGTGGCGATGGCGTATGTGCTGGCGGTGCGGTGCGCCCTGCGCTCAGCAATCGCAGTGGCGGTGGCGAGGACTTCGGCGGGGACAGAGGCAGCGGCTCGAGCAGCGGTGGCGATGGCGGATGTGCTGGCGGTGCGGTGCGCCCTGCGCTCACCAATCGTAGTGGCGGTGGCGAGGGCTTCGGCGGGGATGGAGGCAGCGGCTCGAGTAGCGGTGGCGATGGCGGATGTGCTGGCGGTGCGGTGCGCCCTGCGCTCAGCGTGGACTGGAACCACGGCTGTGCCGACGTGATCGACGCAGTCGGCTCTGAGATCAAGAGTGACCTCGGCGCGTCCCCGCTCGACGGCCACTGTGGGCACTCGACGTTCAACTCCATGGCTGAGGCGTTCCGAAGAGTCCGCGTGTAGGAATAAGCATGTGAGAGGTTGGCTGCTGTGGGCCTGTGCGCCCGACCACGCTGTCGGTTGGTCTGATCGTGTGTCGCTCTTGTCTCTGGGTCACTACACTCACTCTCGAGCTCTTTTGATACTCAGCATAAAGAATCGCATGACAACGTCGGGCCGTTCCACACGTTCCAACGTGCCACTGGGCGCCGGCTTCACTCTAGCTCTGTGAGTTCCACATAGTTGCCTCGCTGGGCGCGGGCGCGCGCGAGGAGAAGCAACTGTGGGTGGCAACCGGAAAAGGGGGGGGGGGGGGGGGGGTCGCGTCAGGTGCTCTAGGTGTGAATCGGGCGGGGTGCGGTCCGTGTCTCGCCTGGCGCGTGTTTTGAGTGGCTGTGTAGGCGAGGCAGCCCGCGTCCCCCAGCGCGCACAGCCCGTCGAGGGCCGACGGCGGATGTGCATGTAGGAGCCGCATCGCGAGACCGAGGCAGAGGGCGGCGAGGCAGGCGTCGCCGCCGGCGAGGACCACACGTGCCCAGTCCACGAGGGGGCTCAGTGAGGAGGCGCATGGCGCCTGAGCCACCGCAGGTGGGGTGAGAGCTCCCCGCGCGGGGAAGGGCGCTCTGTGAGGCCTAACAGGACTTCCTCGGATGGGCCGTCGCACTCCCGTTGCGTGTTGTATTACCGACTTTGCTAACGTCATAGTGCAGAGCATTGTGTGTGTGTGTGTGTGTGTGTGTGTGTGTGTGTGTGTGTGTGTGTGTGCGTGTGCGTGCGTGTGTGTGTGTGTGGTTCTGCATCGACGAGATGCGGGTAGCGCCTGCTCGTGCAGCTGCTCGCGCGAGGTTGGCGTGAGGAGCGCGAGGATGGCGGCAGCGTTGATGCTGGCCGAAGCGACCGCCCAGAGGAGCACCTTGAGATACAGTGGACGCGAGACCTCAACCCTTCCAGTAGTGTGCGGACAACCAAACCCACAAGAAGAAGGCGGAGCGCCTTCCACAGGTGACTCGCCGCAAGCAGCGAGAGGAGGGCGATGGCAGCGCGGCAGCCGAGCTCTGAAAAGGGCAGAAGGAGCTCTGAGGAAGGATTGGGAGCGCGCGCGTGTGGCGGGGCGTCGTCACCAGGGCTGAGAAGGGGAGCGCACTCGGTGCTGAGCATGACGAACGGGTCGATCCGGGACGGGTCGCCGTCCTGAGTGGCGCGGTGCAAGTCCATCTCGCATACACAGTTCACCTCTCTGATTGGTTCGTTCAGGGGATCGGGCAGGGGATCTGGAGCTCGGGCAGGGGATCTGGAACTCGGGCAGGGGATCTGGAACTCGGGCAGGGGATCCGGCTGCTTCTCGGTTACTGATCTCCTTCACGCCGCCGAGCAGAATGGCGCACAAGTCGCACACCTTCTCGACCTCTCCGTTGCGCACCTGTGTGCGTGTCATGAACGTGTCGTGGACATGGCATGTGTCCCGCAAACCTCCGTTGAGCGTTGCGCACCCTCCGACGCTCTGAGGAGTGGGTCGCGCAGTACACGTCGCCGCACCAGCGACAGTGGTGGCGGCTGACCGGCGCACCAGATCCGAGCTCGTCTATGTCGACCTATGGAAGACGTCGAAACGGTGGTTGCGACTCCCTTCTGTGGAGCCGTGGCGCCCGCCAACAGCTGCCGCAAAGGTGGCGTGACAGAGCGCACAGACAGGTGCGTCGCGGTCAAGTCGCCAGATGGGTGTGCCGAACTTTGCCTGTCGGGCGAGGGCGCGGCACGGACCTCGGTGCAGCGGTGGGTGGCGGGGTCGAAGCTGTGGGGAGCACAGAGCGGCAGGCTCTCGGACCTGCATCTCGGCCGCGACCGCCTCGGGCGACTGCATCGCTTGCTTCGCCTTCTTGGTCAGGGAGTGTACGGCCTTGGTCGCCGCCTTTAGCGCGGAGACTTTCTTGCCGATCATGGCAGCCTCTTGCCGGGGGGCTGCAGAGTCGGAGCGCGTCCGTCCGCACGCGCACGAAAAAAATCGGACGTTGGTCGCGTTGTGTAAGGTGCTGTTCTTCACCTTTCTACCTACCTACCTACCTAGGTGCCTATAGACTCCCTAGGGTAGGCGACGGCTAGCGCATCACACTCCTCTCCTTAAAATCCCTGTGTGGTGGCGGCGTGCCGTTCTCCCATCCCTCCCTTGGGTTATCTGTTTTCTTTCTTTCTTTTCAAGGTGCCTATATGGGCTTCCAGTATCGGACCTTCAAGATGCCATGGTGTGCGGGATGTCTGTGGGCCCGAGAGCGATGTGCCATGTGTGTGACCGCCTTGTATTAAAATGAACGCCTTGCGTCTGTTTTTCAGCTCAGAAAAAAAATCAACGTCGGTGGCATGGGGCATGGCTTTTCGTCAACGGCGACACGTACATTCTCGAGTACCTCCCACTCCCTTTGACATCCGCCCACCCGTGAATGCCACCCACGCGTGCAAGCAAATACAGTTTGCGAATTCCAAACCTAATTCCCACGCGCCAAACCTACCACGCCTGCACCAAGCCTGCGCACGCCGACTCACGCGCCCTCCCGCGCTGCAAGGGCGCTGTTGCAGGCGCTGGTCAGGACCGTCACGCCCGCGACGGCAACCAAGAAGATGCAAGCGGCCCTGTTGGCTCGCGAGACTGGGGGCGAGGCCGCCTCGTGCATGCATCCACGCGCAGAAGGCAGTTTCAAGTGGTCCATGTAGAGGAGCGCGACGCCTGGGAAGCCGATCCCGAGCGGGCAGAGCACGTACGATCCAAGCGCCGAAATGAGGACCATCACCTGTTCACAGACTCGGACACCAAGCTAAACCTGGAGACGTTGGTGAGATGGCGTGGATGTCAGCAAATATCGGCGACGCCTGATCGAATAGCAGCGCCACGCTAAGCGACGACGCGACGATGCCGGCAGTGAGAGCCGCGTGAGCAGCGGGAGGAGGCCGCGGCCAATGCAGCTGCGTATCCCCTTGCTCCGCCGCCTGCCTCCACGCGCCGAGGAGGCAGTCCCTGGCCGGATGGACCATCAGAGGGCTCGAGAGAGCGACGCCCACGGCGCACCCCCCCCGGAGCAGCAGAGGCTCCGTGGGGTCGAAAAGTCGACGCTGGGAGTCGCAATCGTCAAACCGTCGCAACACCACGCGGTACGCACGTACCGCCCACATCCCCTCCACCGCTGAGCAGGCGCAGATCGACCGCCGGGCCGCGTAGCCGTCGTTAAGGAGCGGTTTTTGGAGCCGTACGAAGAGGTCCCAGACGGGCGAAGATGCGGTTTTTCGACGACCACACACGATTTGGTATCTGGTTTTTGCTAAAAACGGGCCGCCTAGTGCAGCATCACTAGTACAACACGCAACCACACTGATAGCTCCACACTGGCCGGTATAGGCGAGAACCGACGGCGTCACGGTCGCCGGAGTGGACGCACTGCACACACACTGTGACCGTGTCGACGGTGTGACAGTGAGCTGACACAATCGTCGGCGCCGCGCTATCGCGGCGCCCCGCAGTCTACACGCCTCAGACGCACCCCTGAACGCGCCATGGGCGCGCAGATACACCGCAGCGCCGAGGAGAATCCACACCTGGCCGGTCCCGAGCCCCGTCCTGGGCCTCCAGGCGGCCGAAGATCGGCGTTCGGGCGGGATGAACTTGTCGGAAATGGAGCAAACTTGGCGCGGCTCGCCGCTCGCGGTACCGGGTGAGCCTGGATAGGGCAAAATCTGGGGTGAATACGAGGGACAGAGGTCGCAAGTTTGTCGCGCAAGTTTGCGTGGCGTGGCGCTGCCCCGCTGCCGAGGGCGCCACCAACCCGTGGCGGCGGCATTTCCAGCCCAAATTGGGCGTTCCGTGCGCCTTGCCGGCGAGAGTGGACGGGCTGTGCATCGTGGGGGGGGTGAGTGGGAGGGAGGTGGTCGTGTGCCTACTTTGTCGGCCGCGCGCGAGGAGAATTCTGGGTGTGAGGCGCGCAGGAGGCGAGGGTGGGCGCGCCGGCGGTCGAGCCGCCGAACAATTCGACGTGGCGCAGCTCCGTGCCGGCGGGGACGACCAAGCACATGATGTCGGCGGCGGTCGCGCGACGAGCGAGAGCCGCAGGGGCCCTCTGAGAGCCAGGCGCCGAAAAGCAGCGTGAGCGGCGGCCGCGATCAGCCACCTGTGGGCGGCCACCGGGGTGACGGTCAAGCGCTGCCAGGGTTGGATCCGGTGCGTCTCGTATCACTGGTGGGCTGGGCGTGCAGCAGCCGCGCTCAAAAAGAGGGAAAAAAAGCGACAACTGTTCTGACTGTCAGCTTTCTCGACGCACCGTGCTCGGCCTCGCTGAAAAGCTGGCTGGTGGTCGCGCGCAGCGCGTCGGTGCGGCTCCGACTGGTTGGGCACCTCGGCTGGGTCCATCGGCAAGAGGCCCGCGCCGTCGGCCAGCCCCGCGAGCGCATGGGCGGCCGGCGCTGAGCGGAGGACGGCGCGCGAGATCTCGAAACCTTCGCACGAAAATCACAAGGCGCCGAGGCGCGAGGGGGGGGTCCGAATACCTTAAGATACATCATAAAGGTTTTTGGTTTTAAGAACTACACAAATCGAAAGAAACACACGCGTCCCGATAGGATAGTGCGCAGCGACAGTAGTAAGTGCACCGTCAGGCACCAGCCTGGCTCCCAAGCTACCCTCCCCCGGACTCCCGCACAGACTGCCCACAGAGCACACGTTGTGTCACACGACGAGTACCCCGGCCCATTCCCCCTGGTCACACCGCGGGCCACGCTTGCTTCACGCCGTGCAGCCACAGGTTGACGCACGGCGCGTGGCAGCGCTTCCCCTCCCACGCCACCGTCGGAGGCAGCTCGGGGAACGCGTTTGCCGACTGCAGCGGCAGCAGCGAGAGCGCGCACCGCTCGTTGAGCGGCTGCGGCGCGGCCCAATACCTTTGTAGGAAGGGGGGGGGGGGGGGGGGGCGTGTGGCCCGAAAGGAAGGCGGCCGCGGGAGGTTGCTGCGGCGCGGCACTGTACTTGTCGCCGTCGACCGGCTCCGGCGCCTCGTCGTCGGGGGCGGCGACGGCGGCGGCGCGCTGGTAGATGGCGCATAGCTTCGCCGCCGCCTCCGCCGCGCTCGCGGCGGCGCCGGCGACGGCGGACGTGCAGAAGACGGAGGCGTGCCTAGTTTGGGCACCGCCAACGGTGGGCACTCGATTGGACTGCTTCTTTGGGACGCGCGAGCGGCGGAAACGAGCCATTCGCGAGAGGAAGCGACGAGGCAGCCGAGCCGCCTACAGCGAGGAACGGGTCCGGGACAGGGTGGGGGGTGGGGGGGGACGTGTCGTGGACACGTCCTGCGTCGAGGGGCAGCTCTGAGCCGCACCTCATCTCGAGCAGCGCCTGCATCGTGGCGCAAACTCGTAATCAACTAGTAATTAACTAGTAATTAACTATTAATACTAATCTCGAGCAGCGCCTGCATCGTTGCGCGAACCTTTGGAGAGCGCAGCGCCGCCGCCCGCTCCGCGCTGCCGGCGGAGGGAGGCAGCGCGCTGACGAGCGCCTCTGCGTCGGTCATTGTCCGCAGGATGGCCTCGCCTGTTCACAGCTTCAGGCGCGTGAAGAGGCGCTGTCCACAGTCGGCGCCGGTGCGCGGGGAGGCCTCTCGCCCATCGCATCGAGCGCCTCGAGGTGCGCACGCTGTCCGGGAGAAGGGGGGGGGGGACCAAAAAAACCGGTCCCCCTCCCAAAACCAACAAAATCTTGCCCTGCCGTAACCCGAATCGCCCTATG